AATATGATCGTCTGTAGGGTTAAAGGACCTGAAGCTAAATTCACAACCAAACATACTTTGCGCTACGCGAAATGTGGTAGTCAGACAGAAAGAAATAGATAAAATGCATAAGAATATTCGCCTTCTTCTCTACTTTAGCCTCCTACTTTAGTTTTCTAGTACGATTCCTATGAAAACGACAAATAAACGTTGATACGATTATCTGCTAGTGTTTAATATTTCACTCTTCTTTTGTTGAAAGAATCATACCAGTTCAGACCAATTTAGATTTAGATTTAGTCAACAAAAAACCGTAATCGGATATTTAATATTTTATTAAATTTTTATAATTATTATGAGCCCTTCCACTATGGCTCTATATTCAGCATCCTGTTAACGAATCTCACCTTCTTGCAGCGTTTAGAAAAAAGACATGAATAATTCCAAACTCTAAAGTCCTAATTTTAGCGAAATTCGTTAATACAGTGTATCAACAGAGGACGACCTATCTTGGCATTATTATTAACTATTTATTCGTGTACTTAAGATTCAGTGATTTTATAGCATAATACATACGTAGACACATTTGCGTACTGCATTTTTCACAATTATCACCAACACAAGTACCCCAGAAATACAGGTTTAACAGGTTACTCGTGTTTATTAACATATTAAAGTACACTGGTAAATAAATGTACCTCATGGTTCAACATCCATTACTATATCCCCCCACCCATAGAATGTATTAATGAGTTTCTATGATTCTCACAATGATCAGCGATTATTTCTTTAAATAACACTGATATTTGTAATGGAGTAGTTGTATATTAAGGCAGATACTGTTTGTTTAAAAAAATCTAGATTAATTTCATGCTTCAAAAGGGAAAACAATACGCGAAAAATAAAACAGGTAATTTGACACGAAACACAAAATTTAAAATGTTTATTCTACGGTAATTTCAAAACAATTCACGACTAAAAATACATTTATGAAGTTTCTGACTGGCACAATGTTTTAATCACAAGATACTATTTTGTTTTAGTAGGGATGTTGATAGTTTTCTCTGTGTTCTCTCGTGCTACTCTAGGCAGATTACTAACCGCCACAAACGAGGTTATTATTAGACACAAAACACTGAAGCAATATGCCAACAGATGTATTTTAAAAGTCCACCGCCCTGTTAGGGCAGATTCTGACACACCACAGACCGACCAAAAGCGACAAAACAGAGAAAAAGGTCTAGAAATAAGGATTTATTTTTAATACAAGGAAATACTGCTAATAACATTCTACACGCTAGAGTCAGTAAATATCGCACAGAGAAATCTCTGACCTGGTGTACGATGGAACAGCACTACAATCGAGCCAGAAGCCCTGCCTTAGGTAGTGACACTGCTGTACTGATTTTCACATTCACCTCTCCACATTCTTTGCAAAGTGTAAAAATCCGCTGACCGTCTGCATTTCGTCTACATCTGGACCTACGCGAACAAATTTTACACCAGAAACCCTTTACCCTAAGGTTGATTTATTACAGAAATCAATGCGAATTTTTTCACAGTGTTAAAAATAAAGCTATAATCACCATCCAATTAGTATTATTTCTTAAGTAGATTAATCTCGCGAAAATTAAGAAATCATAGCTACTTCTTTCAGTCTAGTCCGTTCGGCGTTTCTGTGTTGCACTTTTAAGTCTTACTGATTAAGTGTGACTTTGTGACAACGTTTGAACAAAATACAATTAGTCACATAGTCACACGTGGGGCACATCAAATAAAACTGATATTTATTTTTTGTCAAATATTACTATAATATAGTTTGGGGACTTCAAGCATATTAATCCATTAAATTTCCAAAGAACAGCTAGAAACTACTCAAAAACTGAGTCTGCGTTTGAGTTTTGCTATTGTGTTCAAATTCACACACCACTTACACGAGGAAAATTACAACTACTGTACCCGGGACCAAACCGTACGTCTTTCTTACGTCACTAGCTTTCTGGTAGAATTAAAACAAACGCGCATTCTTTATAAACCACATATACCGACATGACAAATGGTACAGCGAGCTTCTAAGTTCTACCTCTGGGAAATAATGCTTATAGTGTGGACAATAAATATATGCTTCCTTATCTATTAACTCTCTCACCTTTTTTACTTCTAACTCTCGTCAAACGCACAGATTCGCCCCGACTAGAGTACCAAGCAGTAGGAAATCCAAATCGCGTAGACGAACAAACATATGCCTTTATTTCGTGGTCTGAGGCGTTTAATCTCTGCTGTCCCATCACTATCTGAGCTTTTACGTCACAGACAATGCTAGCTTAGTCCACAATCATACGCGTCTGCCCAACTGTGCAAATGGTAAAACGTTTCATTTCGAAATACTTCAAATGCATTCAGGCCTGGAGTGTTGAGGGGCCGCAACCGATGGCAACTATAACCACACCCACAGCCAATATCTGAAATATTAGAACGCTGTTCGCAAAAACGCGCGCGTGTGAAGTACCCTTCGAATTGAGAGGCAGAGTAGATATTTCTGATGGTGAAGTGAGAAGGTAGCAGAACAACAAGCAGGTTGAGTTAGCAAACACGGATAACCTTTCAACACGTTCGCCTGTTTTCTTCCAACCTTCTGTAGCTGTTCTGGATCGTGCAAACCGGAAAGCGCACTAAACCATCAGCAGATGGCGAAAAAAAACCTGAAGCGAGAGAGTGGCGGGTGGCATCAAACTCCTAACCGACAGGTGGGTGACAAGAATACACTGTACAGCCTTTTTAGTAAAAAAACCTGAAGGAAGAGACCACGTGGAAGGTCTGGGAGTAGATGACACGATAATATTAAAAAGGATCTTAAAGCAGTAACTACAATGTCGCAGTGTTGATAGAGATATTACATGAAGATTTCCGTCTTCTGGGTTGTTGCGTTGTGTAGTCTGGTCGATGTTTACCAAAGTTTCAGAGGTCATACTGCCTCCGTCATCATACATTAGGGAATGCATTAAGTAGTGTCCAATGGCATGAAGTTATTGATACGTTTTATAAAAACCAAGGGAAGGATTTAACGTTAATGCAAGGGAAGACAAACACGTGGATATTATGATACAATAGTAATGAAAGCAATTTTAAGGAAATTATTTCTTGTAGCGATTATTATGGGCGATATTCTGGAGGTTTATGCCAGTCACTCTAATTTAATCACCGGATTTATCTTATTATAAGTATATAAGACTACTTATTCTAGCAAAAAATGTCATTCGTAACTTATTTATTTTTGTTTCAGTTAACGATTCTGTCAGTAATTCAGCTTACAGAGTCAAATAATAGGATGATTAATAAAACATAAGTTCAAAAGGATATGGATGGAAGTGGTAGTGGCCTGACTCAATGTTATATCCTTGAATTAGCATGGAGGGACGGATAAAAACAAGGAAAAACCTCAGTTACGATAGTCGGTCTCCAGGTCGAGATCTGAACCGGTGATCTCCCGAATAAGAAACAGCAATGCTAACCACTCGACTGTGGTTCGGATTTTGGTAGCAAATATGAGATATTAAAATATGTAAACGATATTAAAATGTTCGAAGTAAAACAGAAATACAATTGATTCAGAGACTCACAAAACAACACGAGTTGCCGAAAATCAAGGGGCAGACTCTAGACAAATGTAGAAAATTAAAGGGGCACAAAATTGCTTTACGCGTGTACACAATTGTAATGAACCAGGCAGCAGTTGCACTGCAAAGATATATATAATCTACCTTGGGAAACGTTAACAAACAATATAAAGTGTAAAGATCCACACGGCCTTAAAACCAAGAAGACCACCATCGACGTATTTACAGACGCAAGGACGCCAAATTTTAATAGAGGCCACTGTGTAAGTTTCACACCACAGAAAGGAATCGCGTTTATGCTCCATTAACGGGTATTTATTTAACCGTCTTCTCTATTCTGGTAATTCTCTACTTTTGGAACGAACTCTTTTGTCACCCATCCAATTCAGCTGGCAGAACACTTACGGGAACAAAGAATAATTTAATATCACATATAACAGCCGCAATTGTACATGAAATACTCATATTTCAATAAACATTGTCAAATTCATTACTATAGTCCTGATGTAAGGAGTGCAACATTTGAAGTTTCCAGAGTCTGGACATCAAGTCCCATTAAAATGTTTCCTTCCTTCCTACGCACGCATACACACACAGATATACATCAGTTCATATTGTAATGTAAAATTTCCAATATTACATACTCTGATTTCAATCAATTCTGGTAACTCTACTTAACTCGATATATTTCATTCATAAACTTAGAATTCAAGTCACGCATACGCCCTCTTTATAAAATGCTAAGGGTTCGTCACAATTCGTGCTAAATACAGCGGAACACTGAAAACGATTTCGCTCCGTAATAATAGTATACAGACGTTCCAGAAATACTATGCACTGCGTTGAATGGAAGTTAAAATGTTTCAAAGAAAATGATATGAATATTTATTTTCACATCGAGTCTGCAGGAAGTTTCAGAGCAATACTGGGGAAGAAAATTAAATTCTAGTGCATTAAGTTAATCTAAACTTGAATGATGGTGAATTTTTAACTATCCAAGGCATTGTTTGGATCCACAGTGTTGGAACAAAATGTTGAAGAAAAGTTTTTAAAATCAGCCCGTTCTCTTCAACGTTTCTGTATTTGTACAAGAACACGTAAATTACATAAAAATTAATTTACGTAAGACAAGACAACTAGCTACCTTAACCCGAAGTTCCATATCTAAATTATTTAAATAAACCTAATCACGTCAAAAATAATATTGTGAAACACTAAAGTCAAGTTTCAATACACCTATTTATTTCTCCGCAAACTTATTTAACTGCAAATAATCACATTATTCAGAGTCTAGAATAAACACATTAATAAAAGAGCAAGTTATGCTACGTCTACCTGTAATTCAGACTTCCTTGAAGCGTGTATAATTGCCAATGGTATTTCCAATTGTCCTACTCACCGATAGGTCGCCTCCGTAGAACGGGTGGATAACAAAGGTTTCGTTACCAACGTGAATTACCCCACTGACTCCATTACAAGTGTGGAAGGCGGCGGTAGCTCCAGGGTAATCCTTGACAGTTCCGTGATAGTAACAGTGCTCGATCTCCTGAAATCACCATCAACATCATTGCCAGTCTAAAAGTTTCATACGTCTAGTTGCTACTAAGACTTACAAGATTTATAAATGGCTGTCATCATCATTATCATGAAACTCAGGAGGTTTTCGGCACTCGGCTACATTTGTCTAATACCCCTCCATTTGTTTCTTGCTTCAATTTGCCTTTTTTACCTATTTCATCATTAGTTTGGAGCATCTGTCTTTCGACATTCAGTCAACGCGAAAAATACATTCATTTCTGAAACTCAATATCAGAGGAAAATTAAACATATTAAACATTCTAAGTAAAATGGGTGGTTATATAACAAATTAAATTCACCATGTGGCGAGAATGGGGGAGAGATCTACGATTAACACCAAAACAAAGAAGTGAAAAGAGGAATACGCCATTAAATATTCAAAGATTCATTATGAAAACAATCGAGAAGGGTCAACTCATGATGTTAATGATTTAACTGAAGCTAGTCTAAATAAAATTTAAAAGTTCAGTCCATACCCCAAAGAAAATACAACGCGTCTCCATTAGTTTAATAATGGCGTTTAGGAAAGTAATCGCTCTTAATTTCGAGAATGATACAAAACCCACAAAATACGTCAAAAGAGTAAACGCAGAGTTACACTGGTCTCTAAATTGTGAAATATCAGTTTAGGTGCACAGAACATTACTTAACATCTTACAATTCTTCCATACAAAAGCATCGATTATTATACAATTAGTTGTAAAATTATGTGACTAGTATTTACACACTGCAGCTATAATTTTTTAAGATACTCGACCTTGGCAGATGTCATTACTATGTAAAATCTGTCAATTAGTAATTTCGAATTGACAAAACGTAAAGAGTATGTTTACTATTCAGCGATACTGCATACACTTCAGATTGAATGCCGGCTATTAAATACCAGTACCAATTGCATGTATAAATACTGAAGGCGCTGTTTCGGAACGACGCTAATAGTAGATTAATCTATTAATAAATTTGAGGTGGACAGTTGCTGTTCCGTTACTATAATAACTTTGTGGAGCTGCAGAATTTATAAGCAAAAATCAGTTATAAAAAATCAGTTTCAAAAGATTTTTCAGAAGACATTCCCAAATTATAAATCTGAGCCATTCTTATTACAATAAAACGAAGAGACGTATAACAGATTCACATTCGTGAATTATCAATAACATAGATCAGTATTGTGTGTCCAACATGAAACTGAAATCACTTTCACACATCTGTAACTTCTCTTCGTGTAGACACAAATACGAAACAGCTATATAATAACACAGACAAATAGGCTTATACCAGCGAATATAAATAGAGCTCTTAACACATAACACATTTAACAAACGTTACAAACAGTACTGGACGAGTTAACTTTCTGTTAAACATCTGAAAGGCATTAAGAAAAACCCATTAACGAAAGTTAAGAATGTCTTGCTTGAATTAAATTTATTGTCGTATTCTTCAGTGTACGCAGAAGATGGAATCTAAAATTTGTTATGAAGATTTTCTTTCAAATCTTCATTATTCATCGTTTTGTAACAAACAACTATATTCTAGGACAAGCAGTCACTAAGTAAAGAATGATTAAATCAGCGTATAAATAAAAAAAAATACAAATTTTCAGAAGAGAGGAAAAAACCCAATTTTAATTCAATTTCTTGAATTGTGAGGAAGCTATTGCAAAATGAGCATTATTTAAGTTGTGACAGTGTTCTTCTAGTGATGCGATATGCTAACTTACTTCCAGTCCAAATCTTTATAATGCATTTCATAATAAACCGAAATTTCTGCTTATCTAATTCAGACGAACTCATCAGATTACCACCATTACGCAAAACCGGGGTAACTCAGTCAGTATGGTGTCTGAATACATGCTAGACGACGCGGGTTTGATCGCCAACAGGGGCAAAATATTGAGAAAGGCAAAGGATTTCTCTTGTCCAGTGAGTACAAAAGGCTCCTTCCACTAGAGTAAAGGACGACTGGGGTGTGACGCTGACCTCTGACTCCCATCCAGTGCAGAGGTCAAGAATGAGTAGAAAGTTTTTCTTCTTCTCTCTCCCCAAGCGCCATCATGGCGTGCAGCGGGAAAGCTTTACTTTTACCACTATTACACACATAAGCCGCATAACAATAAACCGGGTCTTCAAACCTAAGAGCATTAATCTTTAACCTCTGTAATTCACGGTTCTCTAGGACTGATAGTTTCATACGGGAGTGTAAAACAGATTTTATACACGCAGGAAACAGTCATTCCGGTTCAGGTAGTTACCAGCACGAACAAACAGAGACGGCCCTTCTGTAATACACACGAAACTCGTTTGATTAAACTCATGTAATTAGTAGAATTATTCACAGAAGCGTCAGGTTCAACTTGCACTCAGTTACTCGCCGACCGACCCACTGACTCAACAAAACCTGTGTGAATATCTGCAACATGTACGTCATAATCAGTTGCACTGGACGGACGATGATTTGGACCAGTGGGAAGGTATGAAGGCTACGTGAATCTGTCCATCGCGCGCAAACACACATAAATATATACATAAGCACACAGGTCCTGAGTCCTTACATGCTATCTAGCTAATATTTAAAAGTAATATTTTTATATATCTGTATAAATAAATTATTTATAGTAGCTTATGTCGGATCGTTATTTTTCTTAACCATGATTATTTTTGTAATATACAATATAAAGTGAAAATTTAGGAAAGGAAATGAATTTCGTCTTTAAAAAATAATTCTTTCGAAAATAATCCGCCATTTGCATACAACGCAAACAACACCGACATAGTGACTTTAAAGAGACCTCAGTTTTAATCAATAACTCTGAGACCAATCATGTGCCGGGACAGAAATGGCCTTAACTTATAACCGAGGGCATGATAACGTGTTGTTTAATCAAGGTTATCACACACCTCGAGTGGCGGCGACAGTTGAATATTGATCAGTGGTAGAATGATCATCATTAACAGGGGAGAATCATAATCATCACGAAATTCGTTTGACGAACCCCAGCCTAAGCGGAAACCCAGAGTCTAACTACTTGAGGTCTCTGTTTAAACGTTACTTTTAATTATGTTCTGTTTAATGGACTCACGAATGGTAATAAACGTTATACATTATAATACAGCTCGAATCGACCGAACTGTGTGTACTCATGTTATTAAGGAAGCACCAGAGCGTGTCTCCTCACATTTTGTACCAGATCTATTTTATAATGTTTCCAAAAGGGGCAACGTTACAGAATTACACACTACAGCTGACAATAAACAAAGTTTTATAGCCTTGAATACACTTCCACGAAACTGAGTGGGCAGGGGGGCAGAGTTCACTATACGTAAGTACAAAATTTTTAACTTTCTATACTTTTAAAACTTTACTTCATATCCCGTAAAACATCCGAATACACAAAACGCGTTCAAAGGGAGTGACATAATGATAACAGGCAAATCTACACGCAACATCAGACATGCTTAAGTACACACATGGGCAAAACAACTTCCTGTGTGGGTTACGTCATATTTATAGGAAATTATACTAGTCATTCAAACCGCATCCGCCTAAGGACTCGACTTAATGACTTAAACTGCTATCCAAAACTCTATTCCACTATTAAAGCATTCGCTTGTAGGGACTGAGAAAAACCACGACATGTCTCAGTCAGCCTGACCCACGAAGTCTGGCAGTGCTCTCAAAAAGGAAAATTTGGTCTAAAAGTGACAGAATCCGTTATCATGTTTATTTTGTTCAAAGGATCAAAACGGGAACGTGACCACTGTTAATAAAGAGTACTACTCTTAGAGATGTACCAACTAGGTTCGAAGTATTAGACTTCATAGGCCCAGTGCCTGTTCTTAAGCAATCACAACACAATGCAGGAGTATGGGGGAGTAGAGGAAAATATCCACATATTCTTAACCTCAGCACTAGATGGTGGTTAGCTGCAGAGCCCTCATCCAGTCATTATACCCAGCAGGGGTCTACATAAGACACTGACTGTGTTTGCATAGTAACGCATAAGGATGACAAAAGCTTGTCAGAAAAGTGTCTCTACTAGGATTAATCATCCACCTCACACATTTCACGTGTAGTTATAATTTATTCAACTTTACAAGGCACATTAAAATTCATATCATACACTAAGCAGTTATTAGGGTCTCTTATCTGATGGTTATATTTCATTCGGGGACAGACAGCCTACATCCTATTAATTAACACCTGCATACAAAACAGCTCTGGTTCTGAATTTTCGAATATAATTTTCAAACAAATTCCCTCTGTTGATCTCGGAAGAGTTTCAAAAGGATCCTATCAAATTTACGCCAACACTGTGTGCCTGAAAAAGGTTACGCGACCATCTGAGCGCAGAATGTGACTCGCTTTGAGCGGTTCCTCGCGCCCAACACCGATCCTAGACAGGCGAATTAGTTCATGGTGGCTTCATGAGACCCAATGACCGACTGAGGCCTTTCGCATTTCCTTTATATAAACCTCTAATAATTAACTTCACATTTAGTCCTGAAGATAGATACAGAATGTCTCTTCGAAACGGTATACAACCAGAAGATTACGTAAACAGAGAAACAAGCCAAAAGACCACAATCTATAAAGACTCCATTTTGTGTTTATTTTAACAACCCTCCCAGATAAGGGGATTGTAACATAACACGGTATTTCTGTGTTGGCGATGCTAAATATTCGGAAACGATTAACACATCTGGACCAGACAAACAACTATCAACGGATCAAGGAAGGACTAACTCCTCAGAATTATATATGGCAATGAACCTTCGGGTTCCTTAAAAGACGTTGAATATTTTCATTCGCTTCGCGACTGTCAGTTTCTCAAACAGGACTCTGTTCCTTGGGGTTAGTTCACGTGACGTTACTACGTCGATACGAGCATGGCATTCGTTATTTGAACTGCGTACTTCAAGTTCGTTCAGCATCATTATGAATTCTTATAGGTTCACTTCAATCACAAGGAACAGAATGTATTGTGTGAGCAGCATTCTAAATGGTGTAGACCATTCGCCAATAAATCATAAAGGGGGGAAAAATAACAAAATAAAACGAGAGCAATTCATGGAGAATTGTAAGAAAAAATATGGCCGGTCAGACCCTTCCAAAGCTAAAATACGTAAGAGGCTTAAAGGAGACGTTATATTACAATAATGTGATAGATAGAAGCCGATAAGTTAGTCAGATTATAATATTTTATAACTATTTTATAGTGATGATGCAATGTGTGTAAAACTAAATCCATTACATGTAATGATTACATTCTGTCAAGCCCAATACATTCTTGACGGCAACAGGCATATAATCTGAACTGTTTTCCTACTCCTGCCTGACAGCTACACATCAATTTGCCTGCAAATCGAAAGAGACGACTGAATCATATTGATGATCAGGGGTGGAAAACCTTTCCTAAGCATGCCACAATATATCAGTTCTTTCAAAGGGACGCAGCACTTCGCTAAACGTGCTATAAGTTCTGTTTTATAGACGATGTAACGTGTAGGATTTGAGGTTTTCACGGCAGCGAGTCTGGTAGAAGTCGACGTTTCAGTGGTCCTTGCTACCTCCATTAAATTGTCAAGTGGTCACGTTTTTTGAGTAAAATTTTGTGTACATCTCTGGTCTCCCCAATGTCCCACTCAGAAAATTCTCTTTAGTTCTTGTGAGATTTGAGGTAAATACGGCCCTGAAGATAGAGACAGTATATTTCTGTAGAAGTCGACGTTTCAGTGGTCCTTGCTACCTCCATTAAATTGTCAAGTGGTCACGTTTTTTGAGTAAAATTTTGTGTACATCTCTGGTCTCCCCAATGTCCCACTCAGAAAATTCTCTTTAGTTCTTGTGAGATTTGAGGTAAATACGGCCCTGAAGATAGAGACAGTATATTTCTCCGAAACGTTGGCATGAACGTACGGCGCCATCTTCAATCACCGTAATAATATTAGGCGAGAAGTAAAAATAATTAATCTTCTTTTTAATATACAAAATTAATTATTATATACCCGCTAAACAAAATGGCATTTTATTTATAGAAGAGTCTTTTAGATGCTACATAAGGCTGATATTTAAGAATGTCGGGATTACAGCGCTGATTATTAGGTCGGTAATGGATATTTGGGGCAGACTGAAACGAGATAAAACAACTCGTTTCTTAATACCTGCAACGGAATGAACCATAAAATATTATACGACAGGATGAAAATGAGACCCCTGATCTAATGGAAAAAAGAGGCTCTTATCTTTGGAAAGGAGGCTGTAACATGACCTCAATTAAAATAGGAAAGTGCTATAATAAAACCTTCCTTGCGTACAAGATTTAGTCTTCGGTGGTAGAATATGAAGAATGGATCTTAAAGTCAGGCCTATAATTAGTATCAAGTTACCCGGTTTCTGGACTTTGTCCATAGTCTAATATTCCGAATAGAACACAACGATTTACAAACTGGATTAGTTTACGCCCTCAGAGGAAAAAGTCGTAAGAACCTGTCCATTTGGGTCCGTTAGAAAGAAATGACTTCAGTCATTGGGCAATTACAGTCAATCATCTAAAGCTTGGTCTAAATCACTAAGATTACTTACGAAATCTGATGTTAACATGGCGATTATATGTTGAACTAACATCGACATTACACTCGAGCTTTAATGAAGGAATGTAATAAAAAGCTTGTGACAAAACTATAAAAATACTCATCTAATCGACTAGCAGATTCTCGAAATGAGACGAGTTCCATGAAGACGGATATAAAACAGCAAAAGCAAAGATTTTCTGGCCACACGCACCATATTTTTTCGATGGAATATCTTATTTATTATTTACAGCTTTTTGTCAGTTATTATACATTTCCAATTAAATGCTTTGATAAAAGGGCTAGTCATCATAACATCACTTCTGTACTTACGCGTTCACATCAAGTCAAATTATATTTTACAGTCTGTGATGCTTAGCAAAATAACACACTACTGAATTAGTAATGGGACCATCAATCATTTTGGTGTACCAACGAAATAACGCGACAGACGTTAATAAGCAGCCATCAAAAGTTTCAAAATTACCTTTTATCTTCGCGTAGCGGAGCCCTTCAGAAACTAATGGTTGCTTAGCTAGTTAAGAAATTTTCCCTCGTTTTACAGAACCCGAAGGTTCAACATGTCTACAAAAGCGTTTATCACTGAAATTAGAGGCTTCAGGTTTAAAAATAAAAATTGAGTACCTTGCTTCAATTTTTGAAAGCACACCGCTGTGTAACCGGTTAGTGAATAATCGTGGGGGGCCTCGAATTTTAACTGTTCCGGCTATTGTTTTTTTACGACTTTCTTGGCTCGTAAAAAGTTCCCACTTAATTCCTCTTAATACCCAGACGCCTTCCTACTGTAGCTTCTCACCACACAGCGCAAAGCACTTTCAAACACTAACCGGTGTTCACCACAAGGACCTTAAACTGGTCGTCAACTACGTCCCAACCTATCAAAATATAAGCCAACTTATACAGACACGACCACACGCAACCTGATCCCAAATCACTCTCGCTATGTTATGAAGCTGACCAAAATTTAATAGCGTATTTAAAAAAAGGTAACATACATTTGGACAAATATTTGTGCCATTGGCTGGATCGTTTGAAAGACCAATTTGTGATTTTGGTCGCTACAGAAAATCGGGACGCTGCACGATAAGACAACTGCAATCCGACGCACAGCGTCACGACGACACAACTGCACAAGTGAGCTCTCCAGTAATTTATTATTGGACAACATGTTTCAAAATATACGTGTTTAACTCATACCAAGATCAACTGGAAATGGATACTAAAATATATGCCTTGCGATATTCCAAAGAAATATAATTCTTGTTCGTCTGCAAAGCAAACACAGTACAATAACCTTTTATTTAACGAGCAAAAGTTACCTACTCCGTATCGTATATGCTATTTTATAGGTTGGAGCTAAAACCCACTTGTCCTTACGCCACGCTGTTTATGTTTCACGTCATTGTCTTTAAAAGAACACCGGGGCTGCGCCCCCTCGCCACTCATACAAGCGCCAGGGGGGCCTTCCATGTTTCGACTACAGCTCTGGATGTGAGTAGGTTATTACCCACCTTTTCACACGAGAGAGGAAACATCCAGATTCTGAAACGCGCTATTTTCAGAATACCACAGAACGGAGAACGTAATTAATACAACAAAAACGGCAGTTAATTTCTTAAGCCCAAATAAATGGATACATCCGACCATGATTCCTCACTATGTTTCAGTAAAGAAAATAATGAATTAAGATATACTGCCTTTTTATCTTCAAAACGTATAAATGAACACTTCAAGATCTAAGCCTTCAATGCATTACACTTTATGAGTGCAAGGTGGACAGCAGAAGGCAAAGTTACTTAAGTTCTTGCTACTCAGCTACTTGTCTCTGAATTTCTTTACCTGCTTCGAAACTTGTTCCGCTCCGTTAGGTAGATAATGTTTCTGCACCAAATTTGGGGCCAACAGCTGCCTGTAACATAACATAAAGCAAACAAATTACACAAAGAAAACCTCATGCTTCTGTTTTAAAATTCTTTAAGTACATTTCCACACATCTGTATACTTTAAGAATATTACAGCTGCTATACGAAGATCTAAACTTTTAATTTGAAAACGTTGAAAACATTCCAGACTCTAAATATATATTAATTTTAATTTTATTATAATTTCGAAAACTCTAGTATTCTCAGCGTGTTACGAATCAAACAGCTGTATGAAAGTTGTAAATTTGAGGGTAAATTAATTTGGACATATCTTGATTTTATACGCCTCAAATACTGTTTTCTCTCTGAGAATATTATCTTTCGCAAACCACACAATAGGTATTAGTCATATGGTTTGTCTCTCACTAGCATTAGCTTGAACATAATTAGTAACTTTGAACACGTAGAAAAAGTTTCCATCGATAATCAAGACGAAGCAGCAGCACACATACATAATGTCATTAGTACTTCTGGACGGCACGTTGGAATATTCTTCTTTTAGTCGACACAGGGCACATTAACAACAGAATTAAATGATGTCCAGACTAGAACTTCAGCTGCTAAATATTAACTTTAGGATACCCGTGTGATGTGTGTCCACTTTGGAAGTCACACAGCTTGTTCATTGCGTATTCACTGCTAGGTTTAGTCATTTACTATGGACCTCTATTAATTTCGGATTCCACTCACATGGCAGTAACGGGTGTTGTATGCGGTTATCATGGGAAAAAAAGTGGGAACTGGCAGGCAGAGGGTTACCAGGGAAGGGTCCAATGAAAGACGTTATAGTTCACCAAGTTGACAGGAATACGAAAATGTGCCGACAGACAACTCCATAGTACAGACTCCTTAGTGACAAGTTGACAATCGCTCAACTAGCCAATAAATCCCCAAACTTTTATGGAATCCCAATGTCCATCGTCGCGCCATCAAAATCCCGCCACCTGTCAATGTCTTCAGTCAGATAAACAGATTTCATACCCCCCACCCCAAGCTATTTTTAAGACGCAGTGTAATGTCAGTTTTCTACGACTAGGTCTTTCGAGATGCCTCTTACCTTCACGCTTTCCAATAAAAAAATTGTACAAATTTCTCATTCCCACCCCCTCCATGCGTGTTATATTCCCCACTCATCTCATTCTTCTTGATTTCACAGCAAGACATCGGAAACAAAACGTAAAAATTAAATCGATATCAGAGGTTGTTGAACTTCTCATGTCACAGAAATTAATTAAGCAGAACTTTCCGCCATACTTCACTGATGACAAATCAAAAGGTTTTGTGTGGATATATTCTAATAAAGCCAGGTTTAGCTGGTGGTATGTTATTTTAAAACTAAACAAATATTTTAAATTGCTGAATATAAATTTAGAAAACTGTCAAGGAAATGAAATTTCTTTGCGGTAACCGTTCTTGCAGAAGATACACAGTGCACAATGCGTTTATGTAAACCCCGCTGTTAAATTAACTTCCTTGCTGCAGACAGAGGTCTGAGTAACATGCCGGCTGGTCGGATTGTCTCACACCTGAAGGCCTGTGAGAGATGTTCCGAAGCTGAAAATCATAAACGTGGTCTATGACCCATTTACATAATTATTTATATGTCGTATATGCAACGTTAAAGTCTGGAACATGGCATGCTACATATACCAGTACAAGCCTGTCTTAAGAGATGTTATGAAATGTTGACAGGCTTCCATGTAAGCAAATTCGTTAACATAATGTCAGTTTTCTACGACTAGGTCTTTCGAGATGCCTCTTACCTTCACGCTTTCCAATAAAAAAATTGTACAAATTTCTCATTCCCACCCCCTCCATGCGTGTTATATTCCCCACTCATCTCATTCTTCTTGATTTCACAGCAAGACATCGGAAACAAAACGTAAAAATTAAATCGATATCAGAGGTTGTTGAACTTCTCATGTCACAGAAATTAATTAAGCAGAACTTTCCGCCATACTTCACTGATGACAAATCAAAAGGTTTTGTGTGGATATATTCTAATAAAGCCAGGTTTAGCTGGTGGTATGTTATTTTAAAACTAAACAAATATTTTAAATTGCTGAATATAAATTTAGAAAACTGTCAAGGAAATGAAATTTCTTTGCGGTAACCGTTCTTGCAGAAGATACACAGTGCACAATGCGTTTATGTAAACCCCGCTGTTAAATTAACTTCCTTGCTGCAGACAGAGGTCTGAGTAACATGCCGGCTGGTCGGATTGTCTCACACCTGAAGGCCTGTGAGAGATGTTCCGAAGCTGAAAATCATAAAAGTGGTCTATGACCCATTTACATAATTATTTATATGTCGTATATGCAACGTTAAAGTCTGGAACATGGCATGCTACATATACCAGTACAAGCCTGTCTTAAGAGATGTTATGAAATGTTGACAGGCTTCCATGTAAGCAAATTCGTTAACATTTTAGGAATCTCACTGTGATTGGTATGCTTTCATTGCAGAACTAGGCTACCAATAACAAAACAGGTTTATGAATATAAAGCTCGATCTCTAAATTTATTTATTACATAGAGACGCATTTATAGGATAGCAATTATTATAAATACTAATACTGAAAAAGATTAAAAACGACTGTTGTGAGAAGTGTGAAAAGAAGTAACAAAAGTCAGTTCTAATGAAATCCAAATACGTGCTTAGAAATTTAAAAAAATATATATGTTGGCTCACAAAATGTCATGAAACGGGAATAGGAAAGTCATTACTAAACTTTCTTTTAGCTGTCATTTTTATATTTTTAAAAGCTGCTGGAAAACTTATCCATTTTCCTGTAATACAAGTACGGGCTGAAACGTAAAGCAGAATTTAGTTTCCAGTCATAAGTGACTCTCAGCAAATGGATGTATATGGATCGAGGGCACAACAGAAACAGGCCTGATTAAGGATAGAAATTTTATTAAATTGGGGAACAAATCACAGATAATAATTTGCGAATAATGGAAGAAAGGAAACAATAATGCACTTGACAACAAATAATGACAGCTACGTGAAATAACAAAGAAACATAATTCTTTATTGGGGAAAACTTCTGCCAAGTACTTAAAGCCAATTGTTTCTCTCAGATTCTTCAAACCATGTGAGGTTAGGAGGATTGTGTTTTCATACTTTTTTAACAAATTACTTCAACAATAGATGCGAAAACGGGTATAAAAGAATAACTGATATTTTTCCAAACTATGAAATAAAGAATGCAATCTGAAGGAAATGTGTTAAAAGCAGAGAACACTGAAGTCGTTCTGCATGGTCACTTTATTTCATTTACTAAAGAGCAGTCCGACTGTACCACACGTTTCAAAACTGAATCCAAGCAAAATGCTCAGCGTAGGCCACAGAGCAGAAAAGGCTTAAGCGGACCTACGTGAGGATGATGCTAGATCACGTCATGTATATTAATGTCCATTGTCCAAGTTGCCTCTCCAATATTCTAGTACGTCTTCACCATTGTGTACTCAATCCTTGCCCTACCCTTCGAAACTCCAGTAATTACACGGGTAGCAGTGCATCGGCACTGGTAGATTACAAGGTGTTGAATTGACCGGTCCGACCTACATGACCTCCGCGTCACCAAGAATGGCGAACAAGATGGCAGGATTAGCAAATCACAGTAGCAGCCAGAAAACGGGTGTTCCAGAATATCATCACTCATGTCACTAAGATTATGAACACTTTACAGAGAGTAATTACTGTGGAGTGGCTGTCACCCACGATTTGAATTCAAATCGTATCGGGATTACATTTCGGCTGGGAAACTGTGTACACTGACTGAGTTCTTCCGTGGTTTCTTTCACCAACTGCAGGAAAAAATATCGGAAAAGTGCTTTAGATTATGGCACTAACTCTTTCTTCCACATCTAATTCATTATATCATATTTTGTTTCCAAGTTAGTAACTGCGTCGTAAAACAAATCAAAGCAATGACTATGGGTCATGAAGTTAGTTATATCACAATGTTCACAACCAAGAATATGACAGATTTTCCATTCCCTTGTTACTTCACCTCTATTAGATCAATACATTCTTCTCTGCTCCTTATTCTACCTGTTGTGTTCTGTATCCTTCTCTCAGTTAGAGACCCACTAAGATGCAATAGGCAAGGGCAATTATAGAGCATTCACAAGTACACTTTAATTAATATAAACAAAATATAAATATACATTTCGACAGTCATATCAATCCAAACATTTATTTCGATCAAATATGATGACATGCAATAAAACTCGCATTATTAATTACTGGACACAGGGACTTAACTTTGTTCATTAAAACTGAACATCAGCCCTTTAAATCAAAATGGTGCCTATATATACCACACGCCTTAACGTTCACTAACCCTGCACTTAACCTACAAAGTATATTTATAGGTTTAACATGATTCTAAGAGTAAACAGTGATTATTACCGCAAACAACATTAAGCAATCGTATCTTTTAATGGACACGCATTGTTTTTATTTGAAGTAGGAAGTGAATTGTTAAATATAATTTAGATCAACTTCCAGCTTCGAGGTGCCAAGATAATATTCAGCCCGATAATCACGCTTTAATCATATAAACACATATGAAACGTAACTAGTTAAATTTTATGAGCACTCACACTTGTGACTCAGTTATTTAATTTTCCACTTAATGTCTCGACGTCAGATCCCAAAAATATATAAAATAACATTTATATTCTAACCTAGTCTATGGTAGAAAGTTTCTGTGGTATGAATTTGAACTGTAATAAAATAGATAGCCTATTTGTGAGCGAAACCAAAGCGTTATTCAAGATCTGAAAAGGGAAAAGATTATTTACAAAATTTCCTGCTATATATCCTATATTCTGAACTCCGGTTATTATTTGGAGCAGCAGCGAACTGATTCCCTCTAATAATTTCCGGAAACGAAAAAAGAAGATATTACAGAACATCTATATTTTTCTAACCAATTTTCCAGACCATCTAAAATCAAATATTGACATTTATGAAA